CAGAGCTTCTCAAACAGGTAGTTTTCAGACTCTTGGCAGTTCCTTCCAAATCACCCATTTATCAGCATGTAGATAAAATCTCTACAAAACAGCTAATGGTGATCTAACTGGACTTTTCACTTGCAAATTATTTTCTTGTTTTCCACAACAGTCATAATTTTGATTCTCTATTCGTTTCTGTAGTTCACTTTTTTTCTCTCTCTCTCTCTTCACGCACAAAAACACAATAAATTAAATTTCCAAAACTACATTTTTAAATACTCAAGCAATTAAGTCATTTTATTTCTCTGATCCTTAGTATCTGAAACTAAAGATTAATTTTACCCTCCTGTCCCCTTAGTTAGGCTAGAAAACACGTTTAGCCTATGTTGCAGTTTTGATAAACAGAATTATTTGAGACTGTATTGTAGACTGTTTTGAAAATGCTTTTGAAAGCACTGAAATTTCCCTAGCCTCAGGAAGGCTGTTAAATCCTTCATATTTCGTTTCTTATATAGAAACTAAATGTTATTCTTGACAGTTATTTCTGTTTGCCTCTCCAGTTTAGTCTCAGAGTGTTCAATGAGTGGAGGCTTTTGAAACGTATTGGATGTAGCTGCATGCACCCTTGTGTTTCTCATCATTTCTATTTAAAAAAATAATGAAATAAAAGCAACTGTAGTAAGGCTTTAAAATAAATATTTCCCACTGTCGTCCCCCTCCCATGTTATTTCTATTCATCATTCTTAACTAAATTTAGATTTTTATTAATCCAATGTGACCGAAAATTTCTGCATTAACAGGACAATGTGGAATTGGGCTTATTCTCTTTGGCTACAGATAAAGCCATCATCTTGAAAATGGCTCTTTCTGACAAAAAGGTGTTCTTTTGAAATAAAGTCTTATTCACTACATTCCTCTTAGAGTTAATGTGAATTTTAGTGCCTCTAATTTTAGATTGAAGTGAAGTCTAGAATAAAACCCACCAGCTGACAATTGAATTTATAGATAGTTGTGAATATTTCAAGCTTGAATAATAGAGCTGTAGAGTTTCAGAGACAGAGAGGGAGAGAATTAAGACCCGCTGTAGTTTTAGGGTATAATGTATTGGTGTCTAGGAAGTGTAGTGAGCTAAGTAGTAATTAGGAGGCAACTGTGTTCTTTCAGAGGTTCTGTTTAGGCATCATTCTAAACCCAGAATAGGATAGCTCTGTACCCGGTGTAGTGGCCTCTTTGTGTTCATGGGTAAGGTGTCGATGTAATTGCTGAGAAATCAAAGCAATATACAAGGGTAAGTCAAACGCTACTAGCTTTCCATTTCCTACAGGCACAGGTTGATTCTAAACAGAATGTATTTAATTATGTCTCTGAGATCTGTGGATGGCTGCAGACAAGTTTTCTCAACAGTACACTTGTCTTAGTCTCTTAATTTAAAGTGCCATAAAAAAAAAAGTCCATTCAGAACTGTAGATTCTGAAGGGATATACCGATAGAGTTGATTTCAAGGCAGAGAAGTCATCTCAGAAGGTTATGGTGATTATTTTGGGGGACTCCGAGGAGGTAGTCTTGATAGATTGTCTCAATTCTTGATCGATTTTTCTAGGAATGTGTTACATCACAACACCATCTCACACTTCTAGAGTAGCGATGGCCATCTTCCCCATCAGGTTTCTTTTTGTTTCCAAAGCTCAAAGAACATAGAAAAGGAACAAGATTTGAGTCCCTCAAAGATGCCCAAAATGCCCCTTTGACCTCGTATAAATTGAAGAGTGGAGTCCTAGTGTGGTGTTGTGGGTTAACGCGCTGGGCTGCTAAGTCCATTTGAGCTGCAAGTTTGCTGTGTCAAGCTCACCAGCCACTCCTCGGAAACCCTGTACAGGGTCGCTGTGGTTCGGAACTGACTTGATGGCACTTTACAACAACAACAACAAATTGAAGAGTACAGAATTCTTCAGGGATGGGAACACCACCTTCAGAATTGTATAGCTCTAGATGGGGCGGGGGGAGAGTATGCTGAGAAATAATAAAGTCACATTTTGATATTTTTGGTTATGAAAGGCTTCTTTGATTTTGTAACAATACTATTGATTTACTCTCCTATCTCTGGATGTGCCACCTCTCCTCCTTCTTACTTAACTTGCAAAAAACAAAACCAAAATTTGTAAGCACTGTGTTAAAAACTCTGTTGATTTCAAGACATTTGTGCGCTGAAATTTGGAGTCAGACCTGAGTTCAGGTCCTGGTTTCACCACTTCTTAGCTGTATAGTATTCTATGAAATTGTGTAACCTTTGAGGCTAAAGAGTAATACCTCACTCAGGGTTGTTTTAGGGATTGTAAAGTGCTCGATTCAGTGCCTGACATGTAACCAATACTTGATACCCAGTCATTTAGCAATTTCCATTCGGCTAAAGATAGCAATTGAGGAAGTAGTAGTCTGAGTAGAAATATATGCAACTTAGATCACAAAACCGGTTTATTCTCTTATAGTCCAGCAGCCATATCTTGGTTAAAACATACTGTCCCTCCTGAAAAACTTCCTTGGCAGCTTGTACTTCTGGAATGTACCGGCTTCCATGGAAGTTATTGCAGAGATAGGGGTTGAGATTTTTGAACGAGACAGCTGACAGGGGAATTCCCCCCACCCTCCTTTTTTTTTCAGGGACTTTTACAATATGATACTGGCGTGTAAACATTTAGTGACTCAACAAATTACTACTCAATAAATGGTAGAGTGATTTCTGACATTGTTCCTTACAGTGTTCTAATTTTAGAAACCCATGAGACAAAGTCTTATGGGAAGAAAATCAGATGAGAGTGATCATAGATGTTATAGGAAAAGAGAGAGAGAAAAGCAGGGGTGGGGGCTGAAGAGAAATTGGTAATCTTTGTGATCAAGCAGCTTGTAGCAACACTCTTCGGGAGGAAAGAGGAAAAAAATGGGTGCCTTGTGGGCAGACGGTGAAAGAGTTAATTGTCATAGCTGTGAGAAATTCAATGCCAGGGAGAGACAAGGAGAGCAACCATGTTTTAGTACCCTAATAACTTCTAACTCTAGTCTCAGATCATAATGTATGTGCGAGCAGTCCAGTAATTATAAGGTAATAAGTGAAGTGGCGGTGTAAGTGCTCTAAATTAAAAGGAATCTGCAGGACTGTTGTAAGTCAGTGCCGACCCGCTTTCTTTCAAACGTTGACTTGAGGAAAGTGCTTAGCCCAGAGTGCAAGCAGGGAGACAAGGAGAGCGATCTATTAATTACAACACTTGTTAACAGTGACGGGGATAAGGCAGCAGATGCAGAAGGGAGAGGCTGTCGAACGTAGTTCAGACTGGTGAGGAGATATTTTTTCTTCCACTAGTTCTTGAGAAAAGGACAACACAAATAGGTGATCGAAAGTAAGATGATATTTTTGTGAATGTCTCCTTCCCATTTGCTTCCTTTACATCCTGATATAAAAGGCAAAAGAAGAAACAAAAATAGAACACAACTTCCAAAGTGAAATCTATTTGTTGAGAGCCAAATTCTTTCCTCAGTGCTTTGCTCTTGAGACTGTCTTCTTGCAACAGTTATGAAGTAAATATTCCTGTTTGGAAATTCTGTATTTCCCTTTGTTTTAATGCAACACAGAACAGTGTGGGAAGGAGGAGAGGGATGAGAGCTTGAAATCTGTGCAATGATAAAACATCATTAGATTTATAGTGAAAAAGATAATTGCATACTGTTGGTTATACTGTGTCTACTCCCCCAAATTCTAGTGAATGACCATTACCCAGTGGGATTCCCATAAATCAACTTTCCACTGGGAAGCAATTATCTAAGTCTCTTTCTTACCTGTCACCTCTCGCTTCTATAGTGGGCCATCAGAAGGTTCTTAAGACTTTACTAAAAGGGGTTTTGCACTATGACCAAATAGAAAGAAAATAGGACCAATTATATCTTTTCATCTTATTACCTTTTCAGAAATTCAATCACTTAGAGGCCCAACAAGAAGGAAGGTTGATGTGTTTTTTTCTAGATGAGAGAGCTAGTTTGTCAGATTAGATGCTTCATCATAGTTCCTTTTAGGATATATGATGTTAAAAGACAAAAAAAATAAAGAGGGAACCATCACAAATCTCATTCTTTTTTCTGGATTAAAATTGATATATTTCTACTTTGTTGAATGTAAAGTGTCAGGTTTATAGACCCACTGTTATACTAAAGGGTTAAGTGGATTTTACTGGTCATCTCTTAAACAATGGGAAATCACACATGTACAAACACACACATATTTATTAATCAATGCTGGTGATCATTTCACTAAGTCCTGTAAGCTCCAGGAAATCATCTATGATGTTGGGTAGGATTTTATACTTGTATATTGTCAAATGGCTGTGAAATAGAGCAATTTAAATAAAGGAAGTGATTGGAGGATATATTCCCTATGTGTCTTCGTCAGATCAATAAAAGACACAGTTATGCTTATGGAAGCGTGCTGACAAACAGTAATTACAGAGCTGAGGAATCATCTCTGCTGCCCTGACACTAAAAGTTGGATTCAACTGATAATAAAATGCTTGTAGCTTCAGAACATGGAAGGTAAACTGGAGGGGATATTAATGAAATTTTAGAAATGACGAGAACTTTGCAAATCACTGCCTTTTCCATTGATAAATATAGCATTCAGAAAGTTGATTCAGATATTAACAGTGGTTCATGAAGAGAAAGGTAAAAGAAAAGGAATTGGACCCTTTAGAGCTTTTGTTTATGGCCTGTCTGGGCATTTTGATGTAACCTCGCAATGCCCTTATGCTGATTACCGTCTTGTAGAACAAGAGATATTGACTAGAGCATGAATGATGTGTGGTCCCTAGTCCTTAGGAAGTACTCTCAAAGAGCGATGTCTTTAACATACAAATTCTTCCATTTTTTTTCTCCCTTTCCCTTTCTGTATTTATTTGCCATTTTTTTGTTTTTACCTCTTTGGCTGTCTATGTTTAACACTTGTCTTCTCTTTTTCTCTCTGTATCCCTAAATTTCAGGCTTCTCTGCAGAATGTCAAACAAAGATCGACACATTGATTCCAGCTGTTCGTCCTTCATCAAGACGGAACCTTCTAGCCCAGCCTCCCTGACGGACAGTGTCAACCATCACAGCCCTGGTGGCTCCTCAGACGCCAGTGGGAGCTACAGTTCAACCATGAATGGCCATCAGAACGGACTTGACTCTCCACCTCTCTATCCTTCTGCTCCTATCCTAGGAGGGAGTGGGCCTGTCAGGAAACTTTATGATGACTGCTCCAGCACTATCGTCGAAGATCCCCAGACCAAGTGTGAATACATGCTCAACTCCATGCCCAAGAGACTGTGTTTAGTGTGTGGTGACATCGCTTCTGGTTACCACTATGGGGTAGCGTCCTGTGAAGCGTGCAAGGCGTTCTTCAAGAGGACAATTCAAGGTTAGTGTTGGACCTGGGATTACCCTGTCCCCCTCCCAACCTCATTTGATGATGCTAGTTTTCTTCTCGCTAGTTTTTATCCTTGTCAGTCAAATCTCACAGTCTTAATAGTATCTTTAACTAAAAATGGTGTCCTTGCATGATGTTGATGGTTAACACCCTCAGCTACTAATCAAAAGGTCAGTGGTTCCAATTCCCCCATGGGTGGCTAGGAAGAAGGTCTGGTGATGTACTTATGATAAATCAGCCATTGAAAATCCTATGGTGCACAGGTCTACTCGAACACGTGCTTGGGTCACCATGAGTCAGAGCTGACCCAGTGGCAAGTGAGTTGATTATGAAATAGATACAGATTATCACTGACAGTAGAGACGTCCCCACATACGCTCCCACCCTATCAATATACCCTCACTATTAAATCCTAATGGCAAAATGAGAATAACCTTTGTGTGGAGTTTTAAAAAACACAGCTATTATTAGAGTGATGTTTGCCAATAGAGTAAATGAACAAATGTATTAATTGTACTATTTTTCCCCGTTGGCTCTTCTTATATGTGCATGGATGTAATACTTTAGAATAGTGGTTCTCAAATTAAATTGTACATCAGAATCACCTGGAAAACCTGTTATATCACAGATTGCTAGGAACCAGTCCTGGAAATGCAGATTCATTAGATCTGAGGGAGTTGGAGAATTTGTATTTGTAACATTTCCCCAGGTGGTGCTGGCCCTGCAGATCCATAACCATATGTTGAGAACCACCTTTTATCTAGTGACACAAAAGGTTTAAGCACTTAGCTGCTGACTTGAGAGGTTGATGGTTTGAATCCACCCTGTGTTTCCACAGAAGAAAGATCTGGTGATCTACTTTCACAGATGACAGACAAGAAAACCTACAGGGCAATTCTCTTCTGTCATGTAGATTGCTGTGAATCAATCGATGCAGTGCTACCCAACAATAGCAACTTTTAACAATCCCATTTTTAATGAATTAGTATAGAAAGTCAGTGAAATTACATCTAATTACAAAATAGAATTTTTTCTCCAACATTTGTGCCAGATATATTCCAAACCTTAATCAGTCTCTAAATTTAGAAATAATTTTATTAGTTCCTACATAAAATGTTGAAAAAGATTATGATAGGAATTTGTGTATGCCTTCTCAGACTCATCCTGAAATACAGAACTCAGTTCATGGTAGAAAGCTATAACCTTTCACATGGTATAACTCAAGGAGCACAGAATTTTTTGAGGAACGGTTAGAGAGATGGAAACATCACCTTCAGAAACGCATAGACCTAGACTAGAGAATAGGTAGAGTCCTGAAGTGGTGCTGTGGAATAAAGCACTGGACTGCAAGGTCGGTTTGAACCACAGGTCAATGGTTCAAACTCACTGCCTTCCTTGGGAGCCCTATACAGGGTCCCTTATGAATCAGAACCAACTCGACAGTATTTAATGACAACAAAGTAATCATGGCTTTACTTTTTGATAGTTTGTAGCAGTACTTTTTGACTTAACACTTTCATGTAATTATTGTTTTCACTGATAGCAAGCTTATGTATAACAGAACAAAATGCTACCTAGACTGCCTCACCTTCGCTATCGCTATGTTTGAGTCCCTTTTGCACGACTGGGTCATTCCATCCCATTGAGGATCTTCCTATTTTTTTGTTGACCCTTCTACTAAATCTAGTGTCATTCTCTAATATTGGTCCCTCCCAATGACACATCCTTGCTTCTCAGGATTAGTCTGACTGTACTTTTTTCTAATATTCTTTGCCAACACCATTTTTAACACTTAAAAGACTTTTTTTTTGCAGCATATGTGCCCATTCCATCCATGGTCATTGATTGTTATTCCAAGTGAAATTAAATCCTTGACAACTTAAATTTCTTTACCAATAAATATGTATTCTGGTAGAAATGTATGCATGCTTCACTTTTCTAGATCCCTTGTGATATATATTTTTATGCACTCTTAAAAGAAAGTGGAGGAAAAAGAAGAATATCATTTATTGAGAATCCATGTTGTTGTAAAGGGTCGTCAAGTTGGTTCTGACTCATAATGACCTTGTATAGGGTTTCTGAGGAGCAGCTGGTGGGTTTGAACAGTCAACCTTGTGGTTCAAATTGACCTTGCAGTCCAGTGGATTAACCCACAGTGCCATACCAGGAATCCTGAGAATAAATTTTGTTGTTGTTAAGTGCCATCGAGTCGGTTCTGATCTATAGCAACCCTGTGTAGGATTTCCAAAGAGTAGTTGGTGAGCTTGAACCATAAGTACTTGTGGTTCAAACCAACTTTGCAGTCCAGCACATTAACCCACAGTGCCATACCAAAGAATACTTGAGAATACATAGAAAGCACTGGTAATTATGCTCAGTGATTTACAAAGTCTACATTCTTTACAACTAGTTGTGATCACAAGCTTGTCTTTTTACCTGTCAGTAGATTCTTAACCAAGGAGCTTTGGTAGCGTAGTGATTACTAATCGGGCTGCTAATCTCACGGTCAGCAGCTCAAAACTGCCAGCTGTTCCGTGGGAGAAAGATGAGGCTTTCTGCTCCCGTAAAGATTTACAGCCGTGGAAACCCTGTACAGGGTTGCTTTGAGTCAGAACCGACTCCATGGCACATAACAACAACAACAAGGTTCTTAACCATCACAGTCTATTAGAATTTCCTAGAGAGCTAGCAACACTTTTTAAGACAATTCTTACATAGCAGAGTAGCTATTTAAGCACAGTTCTTATAAACGTGCATGTTTTATCTGAAGAACATAAAATCAAGCTAAAGTGGAATAATATATATGAATTAGCTAAACATTTTAATAGCTGTATCTTCATATTTTGGGTATTATTATAATAAAACACAAGTAAAATTAATTTCACCTTTTTACTAGTGTTTTGTTATAAACATTTTTAGTCTATCTTTATTTTCTATACATTACTCAAATCTATAAAACAAAGATCTTAATCAGGACCAATTGTTAGGGTTGGAAATGTAAAGGTAGACGTTTTATAGCAAGGAAGGGAGTGATTCACTTTCCAGTCTAGGAGCAGAGGTCCCTAGGACCATTAATGGAGAAGAGTGGAGTGTGGGACCCTACCCAGAGAAGCATTGATGCCTGAGATTGAGGCAGAGCGATGGAGCAGCTGGGAACTTTAGATCCAGAGAGGGAGAGGGACTGTGTGCTGAAGACTGTGTGTGGGGGTGGGTGGGGGTGGGTGGGGGTGCGGGTGGAGAGAGATAGGGGGAGTGTAGGGGGCAGGCTTGCAGGGTATATACCCTTTGGTTGGTTGATGATGCATGGAGGGGATTGTAACCATGACAATGAAATGATATACGGAAGAATGAATGTAAAACTAACGTTTTCCCATGTGAACTATCACATAACTCACAATAAAACATTAAACAAAACAAAACAAACAAAAAAGCAAACAAAGACCTTAATACCTACCTCATGGAATGCTTAAGGATTACATAAAATGTAAAATCCTATGTAGCATGTCTACAAGGGGGCTTCAGAAAGTTCATGGAAAAAAACCACTATTTTTTCATTCCATTTTGCTGTGAACTTTCTGAAGCCCTTTTGTTTATGCAAAGCTTTGTTTCAGTATTAACATTTGAAAAAAGATCTTCAGCCCATTAACTAACATTGTAAAACTTGAAAATGAAAACACAATTCAAGTCATTGCGTTGTTGTTACCAGCCATTGCTCTACATATTATAATGCCTGGTATGGTGCTGCAGGTTAATGTGCTAGACTGCAAGCTCAATTTGAACCACAAGGTTGGTGATTCAAGCTCACCAACTTCTCCTTGAAAACCCTGTACAGGGTCGCTATGAATGAGAAGTGACTCAATGGTACTTAACAACAATAACATGGTTATTATGGTGTCTTGATATAGTGCTGTAGGATAATGCACTGGACTGCCAGATAACTTTGGATCACAAGGTCAGTGGTTCAAGCTCACCAGCCACTCCTCTGAAACCCTATACAGTGTCGCTATGAGTCAGACTTGACTTTACAGTACTTGACAACTACAACAATGGTTTATTATAGATTACTAGTGTGGTACTATAGGATCAGCACTGGACTTCAAACCATACAATCAGAAGTTCAAACCCACCAGCTTCCCCTCGGAAAGCCTATACAAGGTCATTATGCATCGGAATTGTCTCAACGGCACTTAACAACAACATAGTTTAGTACATGTAGGAGTCCTGGTGTGGTACTGTAGGATCAGCACTGGACTATTAATCATAAGGTCAGTGGTTCAAACCCACCAGCTACTCCTCAGAAATCCTATACAGGATTACTATTAGTCAGAACAAACATGATGGCACTTAACAACAACAGTGGTTAAGGAATATCTAAAATTTAAACTGTTATTTTATTAGCTTAGTTTACACAGCTCTAGGGTAACTGTACAAAGATAAGCAGTTGTTTTGGAGTAAATTAAGTAGTACTGCATATGCTTATATAAGCAAGAGGTTCTCCATGTGGAAAATACTCCCATTGACTCAACAAATATTTACTGAGAACCTACTATGAGCCAGTAAGCCTGCTGGCTGGAGTTGCTTATCAACATTTTAATAAACCTGTGTTTCTAAAGGTCTGTAAATTAAAGTGGATTCCTTATACAAATATCTCCTTCCTTAGGAGAAGACACTTTTTTTTTTTAAATAATTGTTGTTGCTGTTAAGTGTCATTAAGTTGGTACCAACTTACAGTGACTCTGTCTAGAATTTCTGAGGATTGCCTGGTGATCTTGAACAGCTGACCTTGCAATTCAAACTAACCTTGCAGACCAGTGCATTAACCTGCAGTGCCATACCAGGACTCTTTTTATTTTTTTCATAGTGGAAGTGTAAAATTCTTTAGTCCTTTTATGCTGTGTAAAGATCAATTAACTATGTGAAAATATTTCTCATTTTTTTTTACATCAGATAACTTAAATATTAATAGCTGTACAATTGCTATTTACTGTAAA